CTGTTGAGTGGTGATCCACCATTAAATGCATAGCCTCACATGCAAGTTTTGAGGAGATCCGTGAGCAGTGATAATGAACTGTTTTTATAAATACCCAAGTTCCTATGAATTTTGGAGTTTGCCTCATATTACAATAAGAGTTTATAAAATGCCAACTATTCACAATCCCATTTTTGTATCCCACTTGTCTGTCAGTTTATCATACTATGATGGTTTGTAAGTTGCTATCCTTCTGGAAGCTGGTATTTAAAATACCAACAGTCACTCATTATGAACAGATTTTTACCGGGAGTCTAGAATAAAACAGACTAGAAAGAAGGGCGTGGCAACCTACTTCCTGGAAAAATCAGCCAATGAGAAGCTTATGAAATGCAACAGAACACTGTCTGAGATAGTGCCCAAAGGTAAACCTCTCAGGCTGTAAAGTACTCAAAATACAACTGGGGAAATGTCTTCCTCAAAGTAGAGTTGATTTTAAGGACAAGTATAGAGAAAAGGTATCAATACCTTCACTAGCTGATATGGCACAACTCAAAATTAGAAGAAACTGTTGCAAATACCCATTAACAATCAGAATGTGGAGTGTACAACATGAATCCAGGAAAACTGGGAGTTGTCCAAAATGAAACAGATATTCACCCACCGGCATTAAGTCAATTCTAAATCACAGTGACCCTATGCAGAGTTCCCAAGACCGTAAATCTTCACAGGAACAGATAGCCTCCTCTTTCTCCCTCAGGGAGGCTTGTGGGTTTCAACTGCTGACCTTGTGGTTAGCAGCCCAACACTTACCATCAGGGATCCTTGAAATAAGTATTAGTGAGCTAAAATAGATTGGCATTGACCATTCTGAATTAAGGAAACATTTAGCATATCATACTGATAATGGAAAATTGAAAAGACATTGTATAACATTCGTTGACAAAAAAGAACATATCAAGATCTATCCTGAATTACAGCACTGTCAGCGATAGAATAATATCCATAAACCTACAAAGAAGTTCAGTTAGTACAATTATTACTCAAATTTGTATACTAACCACTGTCAAAAATGAAAGTATTGAAGATTTTTACTACCTTCTTCAGTCTGAGATTGACCAACCATGCAATCAAGATTTATTGATAATTACTGATAATTGCAAAGCAAACACTGAAAATAAAGAAGGATCCATATGTCATAAATGTGGCCTTAGTACTACAAATGACACTGGATATCCTATCACAGAATTTTATAATAACAATCACTTATTTATTTGAAATACATTTTGTCAATAGTACAAATGGTGATTTTACACATGAACCTCACCAGATGGAACACACAGGAATCAAAACTGTAAAAAGAAATCATGAAAAACACAATATCTTCCTTCAGAACAAGACCATAGACCAGTGGCAGAACAATCAATTGATTGTAATCAAGTTATAATTGAAGTTAAAATAAAATTATAACAGACCCACCAAGCAAAAATATGACTTTGAATACAGCTCATTTGAGTTTAGAGACCATCTCTAGATCTGATTTGACACAATGAACGTTAATGACACAAGACAAGATATGTAGTGGAAAGACATCAAAGACAACATACACGAAGAAAGCAAAGGGTCATTTAAAATGAGGGAAGAAAGAAAAGGCCAAAATTATGTCAAAAGAAACTGAACCTTGTTCCTGAATATAGAACACACAAAGCAAACAGAAGGAATGGTCAAATAAAGTAGCTCAACCAAAGATGCCAAAGGGTAGCTCCAGAGGCAAAGTGAGCTGATATAATAAAATATGTGAGGTTCTAAAATCAGAGAACCAAAAGGGAAGAAAATACTCGGCAGCTCTCGAGTTGAAAAAACTGAACAAAACGTCAAACCTCCTGTTGAAACACTGAAGGGTTCTATGGGGAAAACATCAGGTGATGCATTAAGTATAAGAAGACAAAAAGAGGTATGCACCATCACTGGAACAAAGAGGAAAATAAAAGGAACTAGAGGAAAGAACTAGGAGGCAAAGGGCATTTATATAGGTCTAAATAAAGGTATGTACATTTATCTATGATGATGGGGAAATAGATCTATATTTATAGGTTTAGTACTAAGATAGCAGATAGACATTGGGTCTCTACTCAAGTACTCTCTCAATGCA